TTAATATTGGTGTATGTATATGTGTGCGTGTGTTTGTGTTCGTGTATATGAGTGTGTGTGTGTATATATATATACATACATACATATGTCTATATGAGCCTCCCTTATACACTAAAGATTTTCATTAAAATTTGATAGAGAATTATATATATAATGTCTATACACGTATTGATTCTTTTTCATTTTGCCATATTTATATATATATATATATATACACGTGCATGGTTTAATTATATGTACACTAATGCGCACACACACACACACACACACATATATATATGTAGCTGGTGGTGTAATTTAGAGGGTAGGTAGAAATTGGTATTTAGTGAGGATAAAAAGTGATGTGATATATATATATATATATATATATATGTGTGTGTGTATGTATATGTATAATGGCACTAGGTTACAAGAGGATACACACAACACAAGATCATTTTAGTCAAAAAAATGGTGATGATCACAATCTCTTCTTTTTCTTCTTCTGCTCTCAGCCTCAAGATTACATCCAATTATTTCAAACCAAACAAACACGAAAAAGAAATCTAACACCTAATTTCCATCATTCAAATCCGAATTTAGCAAGTGGTCAAAAACTGAAGATAGAAATATTGTATAACTCACTACTCTCTCTCTTTCTCTCTCTATATACATATATATATAGTTTAGTCAAAAACAAATTTTTATGAACTATAGTCAACCCACTTGCACATACAATATTTTAGCTCATATCAATCTTTTTGCAACCCGTAATAATATACAGTGAAGAACACTTTTATTCATGTATAAATCTATATTTCTATCCACTCAAATATTATAATTTAGATTTTACGTTTTTTCTTATATCAAAATGTAGATTCATAGTTAATGAATATATATATATATATAGATATGTACATGTTCTGCATTATTTATGTTGTGAAAATATATGCCAAATATATTTCACTATAGATAATATCGCATTTATTCTTCATACCCATGTGGGAGAAGAAATTTAGAAAAGGAGAAATAAAAAAAGGACAAGAAGATAAAGATAAATGGAAAATATATTACTACATGTAGATGAAAAAGAAATATATGGATCAGATTGTGTTAATGCGTGTGTGTGTGTGTGTGTGTGTGTATATATATATATGTATGTATATATGGGCCGGTATAACTCAGTGAGTGATGGAAATTGGGACTGAGAGGACATGGGAATTAATATAAATATATATAATATACGTATAGGTGAGTCAACTCGTACTAGTATGGAGTCCCCACATAAAAAAAAGATGTATGTGAAGAGTTGGAGAGGGGAATTGAAAAAAATAAAAATAAAAATGAAAGGCTATCTTTATATCTTTTCATGTCAAAGCATTCACTCATTTTGCCTCCTCTCTATCTTTATATGGGGGGCACCCAAGTGTGCATTACCAATATCCCACTATAAAGACCTTTTGAAATTTAAGTCTTTAACACAACCCTCCACCCCAAATAATATATATATAAGCACTAACTAAATAAGATATATGTATTAATAATTAATTAATTAATTAAGAAATATATATATATATATGTATCAGAAATGGAGGAGTAATGTTGGACTTTTTGTAGACATTGGCTAATGAAAATGGTCCCGAAAAATTAAAACATTAATTTCTTTTTTAACTCTGTGTTTGTTAATGGGATTGCCCGATTGATGAAGTATGGCGCACGTGTGTCATCATCATTGTACGTACGTGGTAGACCGAATTATTCATTCACAATGCACGTGCATGAGGTCCCAACCCTCGTGCCTTGCCTCGGGTTCAATCGACTCTATCAATAATTATATTATTAACAAAAACCCAAATTTACTAAAGTTGGTAATTATAGGAAACGCATATGATCGAATTACCCGACAACATAAAAAGTAGATGTAAATTACCAAACCAACAAGAATTTACATTGTGGGTCAATCAAATTAATGTAGGCGGCATATGAAATTCTAATAGAGTATGACGATCAAAGTTTTAGCTCCTTTAATTAATTTGATTGTAGTTTTAGTCTTATTATTATTTTCTTTTCTAATTTAATATCTTTTAATTAGTTTTTATATTGTATTTACAAAATTATAAAGAAATTTCAATATACATATACATATATATACATACATGTGCGTGTGCGTACACATCACTGAAAATTAACAATAAAATGGGCGGGGGTTGAAACTGTGACCCACAAGCTTGGATTCATGGTGTACCCTCTTGCTGATATGACTATTTATCCTTACTCCTTCATGTTATTCGGCCGCATTTAAAGAAGGTTTAATCTGTCACTATTTATTATTACTTTTACAAGTTTTTAATAGAATATTAATCATGTAAAATTGATAATTGAGGTGTTTTTCGTTGTCTTAGATTCTCCCTTTTGATATTAAATCCCTTGTTAGACAAAATTTCAAATGCAAAAGAGAAGTGTTTTCCCTGCTAAAGCATTCCAATTCTAACTTTAAAACTATAATATACACATATATATATATATATACACACACACAATTTACTATTATTTTTTTAATTAAAAAAAAAACATAAACTCTTCCTTACTGAGTTTAATATTATTGCACCTTATATATATATTCATGCATAAATGAACAAAGAAAAAAACCCACAAAATAAAACCAGATAAGGTTTATGCAGATTCGGCTGCTGCCTTGAGTCCCCTACACAACACGTGCTCTAAAAAATGATAGTAACATTTAGAAAATAATAAAAATATACGTGAAATAATTTTCGAGAAGAATAAAGTTTCATACTTTGAAAATGCATATTATAATATATACTGTCATATTTGCTATGAATTTAAGAGGTAAAAATTAAGAGATAAAATTCATATGCAAATGGAACCTTTATTCCCCTATAAACATTATTTTAATGCATAAGAACGATACTTACGATTCCATCTTTTGGCTTTAAGCAGATGGAGAATGAAAACGGTATCCCATGCAGTGGAAAACAATTGGTAGGGGTTTATCATACTCTCTGGTAACTGCTTCCAACAGGAGTCAAAACCTAAAGGTACATTAAATTACATGAAACTACTGATTAAAACGGTATATGATGCGTGCCTGTACCCGATTCTTTACAAAATTTATACAGCGCGTTGCTACACTAACATACTTCAACCGGAAGATATGCTACATGAAACAAATACTTACTCCTAGGTTGGAAAAACAGTTCTACAATGTTACAATTTAATTGTTACAACAACGAAACCTTGCCACCTACCATGTCATGTGTTACTAGTGATAACCTTTTTGCTGCAGTTCCAAAGATTGTCGTGAATGAGATTTGCTAACTATTTGAAACCCTTTGCTCCAAAAGATCTTTCTGAAACCCAATAACGATGCTTCGATCAGCTTGTTGCAAGGTCAGCTGCCCTTACAAGAAGCTGATTCCAAGAGAAAGATCATTTAAATTTGAGAGAATTTGGTTTCGAGTTGTCCCAATCTGGTGAGCAATTTCAACTTGTTCCTCCAGTGGTAGCATCTCATAACTGCATAGTACAAACCCAAAACATTTCTTACACTACACAAGATATACCTGGCATCCAGCCCAGTTAACTGCTTCTGTACAGAATACTAGTTTAACCAAAAGATAAGGCAGCTAGCACAGATGATAACTTCTGAAGCAAATCAGAAAGTTCAGTCTCTACATTAGGACGTTTGAGGTCATTCATCTAATACTGTTCACTTCTTTTCCAATGCTAATATGAGGTTCACTTTCACAGCCATACTATTATCCAATGAGATGCATATGACAGCCCTAATGGCTGGTGTTGAATTGACAATAAGAACAACGGTCTAATAGGAAGATTCTGTCAAAAAGTATCCATACCCAGTTAAATCTATCAAGACGGGAACCAACATAAAATAAAAGAGTCAAGACCACTGACCAAAATGTATGAAATCCTACAAACTAATAGTACTGACTATCCTGATCTGAAAATTTGAAGATATTTCCACTTGCTATGTTTATTTTGTACTTTAAGAGTCCATAACTAACATTACGAAGAGGAAAAAAACTTCTCTCCAAAGAAAAAAGAAAAGGAAAAGGAAACAACTTACTGCCAAGTAGCTCACAGTCAACTATGCTGTC